AAAACATTTGGACTGTTAGTTTCCATAGTTTTTAGATGGAACACCTACTTAGCATCCATCTTTAAGATGGATGCTTTAAACTTTCTAGACCGCATGCGTAGAAATGCGGTCCATCCCGCATGAAACAATTTTCCTTATTATAAGGATGGGTAGCCAAACTACCTCTCCAAAAACATGATGATTCGAGTTTAAGAACAGTCAAGAGAAACACCTGGCACTGTAGACCATAACAGATGTGGACTTGGAAGAGGATGGAAAGGAGAGCCCAATAACCTCTCCTGGAAATTCTTGAAATCTTCTAGGCAGAGAGAAAGTGTGTCGCTTCGACCATTCACCCAATTGTCGAGCATCTACGTCCAATACATAGACATGATTCGAAGAAGTTGTGACTATAAGCACATTGCTATTGTTTGGAGGGAAACCAGCGGATGTTACTGACGCACCATTCAATCTTGAGACAAACCAATGTTGCCTAGGAAACAGCAAGAAGACCATGTAAGAAGAAAAAGCAATGCTAGTAAAAGTTGACAGGTTGTATGGACTCTCTCTCACACACAGCACGAGCGGGCACGCACAAGTAGATCAGTGATGGATTTGTACCCTACATGTGATGTTGCAGTGGTCAATGCCTGAACCAGTTAGCCACAGTGCCCAACCACAAACAACCCCCCTCCCCTCCCCCCCCCCCCCCAAAAAAAAAAATAATAATTAATAAATAGAAATAAAATTCCAAAATTCCCACACAGGCATAGTGGTTCCTTAAAAACTTGCATTTATGGAGATTAGATATAAATCCCAGATAAATGCATGCAATGCAATCATGATTACTGGGTGGGATTCAAGGATTCTTATACAAGAGGAAGAAATCCTAGGAAACTGATATATTCTTATGCAAGAGGAAGAAATCCTAGGAAACTAATATTATACAAAACAGAACCAAATAAAGTAAATTCTTTTCATGGCATGTTGGATACCAAATTTAAAACTAAGATTATCTTAGACATGTTGCCTACCAAGATGAAAGTTTTGTGCCAATTGACAACCAAAACATCATTTAACAAAATAAATTACCTGTGTATCTCTAGATTGAATATGTAAATATCCCCAAAACAATTCATAGCTGCCAACCATTGTCCATCAGAGCTGGTGCATAGCCTCGTCACAGGAGGTTCAGTTAGTGATGAAGCATCATGAACAACCTCCTTCCGAAAGGGTATGAATGTGTGCAACAAGTCGCCACTTTCTACATCCACAACCTGCGAAATTTACTCTTCAATATCCATTTCATATAAATAGAATCCATTCTTATAAATCAAATAATAGATAGAGACAGACCATGCTTTCCCACCAATAAGTATATAGCTAAAGAACCAAAATTGGTGATAACTGAAGAAACAAAATTGGTGATGTCAAACACAATCATTAAGAACCAAGGTTCAAAAACTCAGTTCAGACTCAAGACTCAAACCCTGCTAGAGCCTGAGTAACTTGGGCGAATCCGAATGGACTCGCCCAAGTAGTTCACGAGACAAAAAATAAAAAAATAAACAAATTTAAAAAAGATTTAAAAAAAAAAAATTAAAAAAAAATAGTAAAGTTAAACTAAACTGGAAATAACATTAAAGGCCCAAATGAGAGGGAAAAATTTATAAAACACAGATATATAAAATTTTGATTTATAGCTAGAGACATTTCAAAGAAATTCAAAAAAAAAATGTATATATAATAATAGGGTATATGACAAGAAACACTCACAAATCATAATTAAAAACAACAAAATTACACATAAAAATATAATAAATATTTACAAGTTGATTTCACATTTTAACAACTTTTACATTTTGAAAAACATCCCCATGTATTCACCTATTCGGCTTGGAAAGGGGCCACGTCTACATAACTTGGGCGTGTCCAATCAAGTGGACTTAGCCAAGTCCCTAAAGACTGATAAAAACTGATTGGTGAAAGATAAAGCATAAGTAGCAATGCATCAGAGGGAGATGATTAGTACTAGGGAAACATTCACGCGATCCATATGTGTGCGTGAAAGAGAGAGAGAGAGAGAGAGAGAGAGAGAGAGAGAGAGCTCGTAATCGTGAC